GAAATGTTTTCTACATACGTAAAACACCCATGACTCTCATAATCCATCCCACCTCACAGGTGTGGCATATCAAGAGGCTGACTAGACAGCATGAATAATGTACAGATGTTCATTAGACTGCCCACAACTAAAAGGACAACCTGACATGTGCACAGTTTTGCTTTATGGGGGTGGTGGGGCAGAAAACCAGTCAGTATCTGGTGTGGCCACTAGGGCTGCAACAAACGATTATTTGGATAATCGATTAATCGGATGGGGTCTCGACACGATTAATCGATTAATCGGATTACATAGGGACATTTTTTAAAACTGCTAGGGAAACGTTATTTTTCTCCTTCCTTCCTTCACTTAAACACAACATTATTAGAAAACAGTTCAATAGCAGAAAACCAACATGCCATCACCTAAATTGTCTTATAAGGTGTATAGACAGAGACCTTAAGCTACACCTATCTGTGACCTAAAATGCTTGGTCCAAGTTAAACAGCTTAAAGAGCAAGTCAACCCCTACCAGAGTCTAACCCCCAAATTCCACTACCTCCGCTCCGCTCCGGTCCGCCCCCGCCTTCCGCAGCCGCTCGCTTCCGAACTCAATTTTACTGGTACCCGCTCTACAACGGCTCCGCTCCGGTGCGGAGACCTGAGGGGGGCAAACAAGCATGCGCGGGATTTTCGAGATCTTGCGATACAGTCCGAGCAATAAACGCGGAAGTTAGATCCAAACACCCGTTGTGCGGGAGAAGCATCGACATGAGCTGTTTAATCTGCCCATCATTGTGTTGAGAGATCAGCAGTGTTTGGATCAACAAAGTGTGACTACTTTGATAGTGGCAACTGTATTTATGGCTTATTTTTGTGCATTTAAACTTTAGCCGCCATTGATAGTTGTTAAAAGTTGTTAAACATGTGCATATGAAACAAAAAACGCCTTTTGTTTAGCGATTTATTGTGAAAAACGGAAGATGTGCTTGCTCCTTTTCCTGTTGGGCCGTTGTGATTTCTGTCCATTTACTGCGGAGGTGCTCCGGCGTCCGGCAAAAATAGAATCGATTCTATTTTTGCCGGACGCCGGAACAGAGGGCGCCGCACGGCGCCGCACTGCCGGAGCACGGCCGCAGTAGTGGAATTGCTCTGATTGACTAGAACGGGACCGATTTTGCTCCGGCGTTCGTGTCGGAGCGGAGCGCAGCGGAGCGGAGGTAGTGGAATTTGGGGGTAACTCCACTCCCGCTTCATGTTTGAAAAATGCAACACATGCTGTTGCCTGGCAGACCGAGAGGGCGGAGCCGCTAACAAATACACACACACACACTCAGGCTCACGACAGCATTGTGACATCATAATGTACCAGTTTACATCATAGCATACTTCTTAGCCAATAGCGGTGGCAGATTTAAATTAAAATACAGTGCAGAGTTTTTACCTGACAATGGCACAACACTGCCAGTTTTAGGCAGAATATTTAAATTTTAACTAAGATGCACTGAAGTGCCAAATTATTGACGACACGTGTCTGCAGCATGATTAGACACTCGTTTATTTAGTTTATCAGCAAAAAAAAGTTTATTTGGGGGTGACTTGCTCTTTAAGGGCAATTCTCATCTGTTTTGTTTGATCTCATCTGTAGACATTTATTATAATTGGGGATGTCAAACAACTAATTTTTAAATGAAATTAAACATAGGCTGTGAATTAATCACTATTTCCAAAAATGACTGAAAAATACCAAATAAAACAAAAGTAAATGAATGCCATCCTCCTTGTGATGATGCCCTGGGCAACTGCCTTAAAGTCACATCAAGAGATGCTGCTGATCATTCCAATGATCCCAAATAGACTCACATTAGGACACATGAAAGCAACTGAACCCAAAAATATATTAACCAGTATATAACTACACGCACACAACACGCCTGCAGCAACAGTTAGGACTCCTCCCTCCCTTTTAAAAGCGTTTTCGCTTGTGAGGACACTGAGGTTGTAAAGCCACATGCTAGTAGTCTGGCCCCGGTGTGATCAACCAATTTCTGCGGGAATGTGACGGCGGAACCGGTTCGCAGCGGCGCGAGTCCCCCCCCCCCCCCCCCCCCCCCCCCCCCCCCCCCGCCGCCTATCTAATAGCGTCGCGCTTACAATTTTATAGACTTTTTTACGAGCTTAGGGCATGTCTAGCCTGTGTAATAATCCGGGGCTTGGGTGAATCACTTTTGAAAAGTTTTTAACTTACCCGGACACCGAGCTCTCTCCTTCCTCTGATGATTCTGACATGCTTGCGTTTAAGACGCTGCATCATCACCGTAGTATCCCCGTGCCATACTAAGTCTGACCTACAAACGTTGCATGTCTTCGCCTGATTTAACTGAAAATGCTCCCAAACTTTAGAAGTTTTTACTTTTTTGGGGTCTCGCTGCTTCTGCCATGTTCCTCTTACAAACACCTGCCGGCTCTCCACCGGTCTGCGCGCAACGGCGGGCAGGAGGGGAGGGGGCTTTTGGAAGAGTTGCGCAACACAACGAATCGATGACGCAATTCGTTGCCAACGCTTTTAGTAATCGATTTTCATCGAATTTATCGATTCGTTGTTGCAGCCCTAGTGGCCACCATTTGCCTCACGCAGGGCAACATTTCTGTCACATTGAGTTGATCAGGTTGTGGATTGTGGCTTGTGGAATGTTGGTCCACTCCTCTTCAATAGCTGTGAGAAGTTGCTGTCGTATACGCCGATCCAGAGCCTCCCAAACATGCTCAATGGGTGACCTGTCTGGTAAGTATGCTGGTCATGCAAGAACTGGGATGTTTTCAGCTTCCAGGAATTGTGTACAGACCCTTGGCAAGATCATGGGCAAGATCCGTGTTATCATGCTGCAACATGATGTGATGGTCATGGATGATGGTCATGGATGAATGGCACAACTATGGGCCTCAGGATCTCATCACGGTATCTCTGTGCAATCAAAATGCTATCAAAAAAAGGCACCTGTGTTTGTTGTCCATAGCATGCACCTGCCCATACCAGTACCCCACCGCCACAATGGGTCACTCATTCCACAACGTTGACATCAGCAAACCGCTCACCCACATTATGCCACACAAGCAGTCTGCCATCTGACCTAAACAGTGAAAATCGGGACTCATCAGTGAACAGAGCACCTCTCCAATGTGCCAAATACCATTGAATGTGTGTTTGCCCATTCAAATCGGTTATGACGGACTGCAGTCAGGTCTAGACCCCGATGAGGACGACGAGCATTCAGATGAGCTTCCCTGAGACGGTTACTGACAGTTTGTGCAGAAATTCTCTGGTTATGCAAACCGATTGTTGCTGCAGCTGTCCGGGTGGCTGGTTTCAGGCGATACTGGAGGTGAACATGTTGGATGTGAAGGCCCTGGGCTGGTGTGGTCACACGTGGTCTGCGGTTGTGAGGTCGGTTGGATGTACTGCAAAATTCTCTGAAACACCTTTGGAGACAGCTTATGGTAGAGAAATGACCATTAATTCCATGGGCAACAGCTCTGGTAGACATTCTTGCAGTCAGCTTGCTAATTGCACACTCCCTCAAAGGTTGTGACATCTGTGGAATTGTGCTGTTGCATCAAACCGCACATGTCAGGGTATCCTTTTATTGTGGGCGGTCTAAGGCCCACCTGTACATTATTCATGCTGTCTAATCAGCCCCTTGATATGCCACACCTATGAGGTGGGATGGATTGTCCTGGTAAGGCAAAAGTGCTCACTAACATATGTAGACGGATTTCAGAACAGGTGTTTTGTGCATGTACGTAGAATAAGTTTCAGATTTTTTAGTTCAGCTCATGAAACAAAAGTGTTTTGCTTGGTGTATATTCATTCTCCAAATGCTTGCTGTAAATGACTCTCAGTTATCACGTCACCAAATCTTACTACTGAATGCGTAAAACTGACTTTTCCCCCCAATATTTATAGGTGCAACGGCCATCTTGAATCTTTGTCCCAAAAGTTAAAAAAAATCAGTTTTTGAACATTTGATCAAACTCTCAAACATTTTAAGAGATATTTTTTTAATGCACACATTAATAGAGAAAAACTTTTTTTACTCACATTTTGCCTTTTTGCAGCAACAAAATTAATTTTAAAAACATTTCGTTCCAATGCTCGTCCAACTTAGTGGTACATTTTCATTTTCAAGAGAAAGTTCCTAGTCCTGATGCGACTGAGATAGCTGTGGCCTGTGAGAAACATCCTACTCCTTGTGGCCATATGGCTAATACTGCTTATTAGGCCTTACCATAAGAGATCAATAAATGGGTGATTAATATTCAGCATCATCACCTGCAGTATCCTTGATTTGATCAGGGTGTTACATTTCCAATAATGCAGAGAGCCAGATGGATCAACTATGCAGCAGTTTACATGAAACATCCTTGAATTGAAAATCAATCAAGCCATTGGTTGGTGATATCTAATGGGAGAAAGGCTTTCAGTTGACTATAGGTCACCTCATTATCAGTAGTGTGTGTGTGTGTGTGTGTGTGTGTGTGTGTGTGTGTGTGTGTGTGTGTGTGTGTGTGTGTGTGTGTGCTCATAAGCTGCAGAACCACTGAACAAAAACTGCATGTGACTATGACACATTCATCAGATTAAATTACATAATGTCACAGCTCTAGAGAAAATCTGGGGGAATGGTTAACTTCATGTGTTATGAATATTTAGTCGCATGACTGCAAAAATAAGAGTATACACACAGCTCATGAATGGTTCAAGGAGCACTGCAAATCTCTGCAGCATGGCTACACCTTCACAAGATTTTGGTGTGTTTGTCTCTCATTGATGTTAGCCATCAGATTTTTTTCCTTTAATGATGCAAAATCTAATAATGACATGTCTAAAACCTGACCCTTTGATCTCGGATGATCCTTTGCAGTCAGAATAATTTATGACCAGCTGAATAAATCTCATTTTCAGATAAATCACTAATGAAAACGCAGGATTGGTTAGAGGAGGGATTTATGCGCAATCTTACCTCCAAGTTCTCCAGACGGCCCTTGAGGCTCTGCATCGTCTTGCCCAGTTGGTCAATGGTCTCGCTGGGGTCCCGGGGCAGGTCCCCCATGGTGTTCTTGCCGTACTCCTTCCGCCTGGAGCCCTGACCCCGGGTCTTACCCACCTCGTCGGCTGCCGCCTCGCAGCGCGCCAGCTTGGAGTTGAGCTCCTTAATGGTTCCCTGTTGGCTCACGATGGTCTCCTTCTGCTGCAGGATGGTTTCCCGGAGCTGGAGGATGGTGCTGCGCAGCTCGTCCTCCACAGGGCTGCTGCTCTGAATGCGGTTCCCGGTGGGGCCATACCCGCAGCCGGGCTCTGCGCCCGGAGGGATCGCGTTACACACGAAGCGGCTACCTGTGGCTTCTTGGCTGCGCACCGCGCGTCCGCTAACCAGATACAACAAACCAACCACTAAAGCTTGCATCCCGGTACACAAGTCCTTTTAGAAAAAGAAAAAGAAGGAAATAAAGGAAAACCTCAAATATCTCCACTTAATCCGCCTGTAAGATAAACTTTTTGCAGCAACTTACTAAATTAATTCAACACGCTTTCCATCAGTTCACAGTGATAGAAAATATAATTTAATGGGGAAATCCGCAGTGAAAAATCACAGTAAGTCGTCCAGTAATCACTTGGTCGGTCTTCTTCCATAAACCAACAAATCAACAATCTTTCAGCAGAAAAAACAAAAATAAAAACGAGACAACCAAGTCCTCTGATAGGAAAAACAAAAAGTTGAAGTCCAAGTTTCAGTGATAAAATCCTCTGAAGGTTCCGCAGAGGACTCTGTTCAGCCGTCTGTCCTCTCCGCTCTGTTGGACTGGCAGTGAGCGGTGCTGAACAGACAGCGACGACGCTCAGACAGATTATTATGGGGAGGCGCGCGCGCTGGCGCTTCCGCCCCGAGACGAACGCTCCGGTTATTCAGCCTCGGCCTACGTCATCACCCGATCTCAATAGGTCCAAGTCATGCTGTGACATATGCTTTGAGTTCACCGACTTTGTGCGAACTCGTTAAGTGAACTGAAGCTGGTAGACGTCAGACGTACGCAGCGCGTTTGGAAGTGCTGGCGTAAATACGGGATGTCTCATGTAGGAAACATCCGGATAATTGATGCTCTTAGAAAATACATTTGATTAAAAACTTTTCATTTTCTACTTTTACTTTGATGGTGCGTGTTTATAAAAAGAAAAAGGCTCATGCTTTTGGGGTATTTGTTAACAACCAAGGCTTTCATTTGTGCTGCAGGTGACATATTTGTTTCTTCTAAAGAGAAATTGAAATGAATTATTTCTAAACTCTCTGAGATGCACACCAGGATGGGGTGTCGGCATTCTTGTTAATAGTTAAAAATTCTGTCAATTCAGGGCAGATGATAAAGAGACAATGCATTCATTATGTGTAATGATAACATAAGTTCAATCTAATGAAAACATGTTTTACAACTTGTAGAATTGGTTCAGTTTAATTGATTTTTATTTCCTCTTGAGCATAAAGGACGTACATTTTTCTAAAGGTTAAAGCAGAGGTTCTGTTCATTTGTTCTCTTAAAAAACAAAATAAATAAAACTCTGTTGGTGGCAGTCTGGATTTAGTCCATAAGATTTCCAGATTATTAGTTTTAAAGTTAAAGTCTAGACCTTTAGTGGATTTTGGTGATGATAACATCTCACATGTTATTTACAGCTGTATGAATGCCCTCAGTCTAGTGAAATATAGATTAGTTCTGGTGCTGATTCATGGGCTAACAGCTGGTTTGCGTGCGGTCAATTCCAAAGAGGGTTGATTTTCCTAAAACAACCCTGTTCTGATTATATTTGAGACCGGGAATTGCCAAGTCTGTGTCTGCATTTGTACAATAGCATCGGTAAAATGCAGGAGTGTTTTGTAATGATCCTAAAGCCTGATTTATACTTCTCCGTGAGCTCCGCAACGGAGAGATGCACACAGAGTTTCGTAAAGGTTTTCAGTTTTGAACTTCTGTTTCAGCAGCGGAGTGTTGCAAAGCAATTCCCTGCCAGGACAACAGAGGGCGTAGCAGTGATCTGTGGTATCCTGCTACCATAACGCTCATGTATCCGGTCACCAATAGTGTATTTACCTGGTATTTTTTTTAATGTGTTTATATATTTCAGAGACTTAGTATACAGACAAATCTGTCCATCATTCTCCTCCACCTCTTCATGCGGTCACCACCTCTAAACCTACATTTCTCGTCGTTTCCATCCACGTTTGCTCCATATTTTGGACTCGTTCGCTCACAGGTGAATAAATGTTATTTTTGGACTTTTTCTGCGATGCGTTCTGTTCTGTGTTTGCCACAAAATATCTGTTTATGTTTTAACGAAGCTGGTGCTGGTGACGAATATACAGGAAGCTGTGTCCTGACCAATCACAAGCTTGCGTTCTCCATCACTTCCGATGGATGTTTAAAATTTTGGGCATGTCTCCCGCTGTGAGCCTATTGGAGAGCCCTTGCGCTGATGCATAATGGCGTTGTGTGTCTCTGCACTGAGGCAGACGTATAAATCATGCTTAAGCCAGTAGGAGTGACCAAGAAGGTTTTTTTTCTACCCCTAAGAAGCCACCGCATATTTTTGTTTTAATTCAATTAAATTCAAGTTTATTTATATAGCGCCAAATCATGACAAGAGTCGTCTCAAGGCACTTCACATAATAAAACACTTCAATACAGATCAGTTCATTAAACCAATTTACTCTAATATCGGCTAAAAAAGGGTAAAGGTCAATGTTGGTCTAACAATGCTAAAAGTTAATTAGGAAAAAAACAACTCTGAAAATATCTCAAGCTATTTTCAGTTACCAGCAACTGGATGTTACAGTGAAGTGTGTTTATCTACTTAACTTACTGTGTGTGAATCTTCTGATGATTATTCGTAACTAGCAGCAGCATCAGCAGAACTAATCTCTATCTTGTTTTACCAAAGAAAGTCCTTTAAGCAACTTCCTTCATCAGGTAAACTACAGTTTATGAAATTTCCACAAACACCCACTTCTGAGAATCTGAACACCTTAGTGAATAGTTGGGTCTGCTTTGGTATTAAAGTTTAAAGCTGCCAACAATGGAGCGTACTAATGGCTGACTGCCTCTAAAGTCTGGATTCCACAGTACAGGTGAATTGTGGGTGTCTGTTTGAATTCAGGTTATTCTTTTGCTCTAATAATTAGGCCTAGTCCACACGTAGCCGGGTTTTTAAAAAAACAAATATCCACCCCTCCAAAAACTTGCATCCAGACCACCGCGTTTAAAAAAAAACTGTCCACACGTACCCAGATAAATACATTGTTAAGGACATGCAAGACCTGTAGGCGGCAGTACTTCCCCCGTTCTTAACCTCGTCCTTCGTCTGTGGTCTTCCGCAAGGAACAGTAATTCCGCTTGCAAAAACAAACAAGCAGAAAGCGCTTGGACAATTGATGGATCGGGTAGTGACAGAGCGCAGCTCTGAGGGCTTCCATGATGCCGGCTAGTGCAAACACAGGTCGCACACGTGATGTCAGCATTTTTTTGTCGCGGAAAGTGACGTTGCGGACCTTAAAACTCCGGTGTTGTCTGTCCACACGCAGACACCCAAAACGGAGAAAACGCAGATCTTCACTTTGGCCTGAGTTTTAAAAAAGATCAGTTTTCGTGTGAAAAAACCCCGTTTTCGTGTGGATGACAGGCCAAAACGTAGAAAAATATCTACGTTTTGGCAGATCCCCGGCTACGTGTGGACAGGGCCTTATTCTCTTCTATTTTCGAAACAAACTTTGCTCCTACACAGCCAAGAACATGGGGGATTTTGTTTTCTTTCCTCCAAGTCTTTATAAAGGAAAAACATAGAAAAAACACTTTTCATGTAAATGTTTTTTCAGTTTTAGAGCCCTCTTGTTTGCCCCCCCCCCCAAAAAAAAAACAAAAAACAAAAACAAACAAAAAACAAAAAAACAAAACAAAACTGTAACCCTAACTCTAACAACAACCAAAGATCTAAAACATGGTGTGCGGCCGACGTGGTGTCGACATTTGGTCCACCTACAACATCAAACCTTGAGCTTAATTTCTATCATTAAGAATTAAAATGTTTTTAGTTACTGATTGTGTGGACTGGCACCATGACCTCAGGTGATAAAAGGAGTTACTGTTTGAAGGTTTTTGTGGTATTTAGAACAGGAAACAACTACAGACATTTTTGAAAGAAAAAATGCAAAAATGGCTTAGAACCATGGACGTAGTCTTGGGGAGGACAGGGGGGACACATGTCCCCCCACATTTTCCAAAGTCAATATTTGTCCTCTGCACTTTTTACCATCCAAAACCAATATTACACTATATCAAATAGATAGATAGATAGATAGATAGATAGATAGATAGATAGATAGATAGATAGATAGATAGATAGATAGATAGATAGATGATAGATAGATAGATAGATAGATAGATAGATAGATAGATAGATAGATAGATAGATAGATAGATAGATAGATGATAGATAGATGATAGATAGATAGATAGATAGATAGATAGATGATAGATAGATGATAGATAGATGATAGATAGATAGATAGATAGATAGATAGATAGATAGATAGATAGATGATAGATAGATAGATAGATAGATAGATAGATAGATAGATAGATAGATAGATAGATAGATAGATAGATAGATAGATAGATAGATAGATAGATAGTCATTTTTGAGAATATTTAACCACTCATGCTTATTTTTACCATATTTATTTGACATACATTATTACACACATCTCATATTACTTAATTTTAATTTGAGACCCAACTATGAGTCACCAAGATCTACACAGGGGGTCTTGAAATGATTTCCAGAAATCTAAATAAAATTTAAAAAACAATAAGAGCTGCACAGTGGTGCAGTGGTTCGTGCTGTAGTCTTGCAGCAACAAGGTTAGTGTAAATCCCTACCTGGGGTCTTTCTGCATGGAGTTTCTGTGTTCTTTATACGCACACATAAGCTCTCTCCAGTTTTCCAGCTTTCTCCCATAGCCCAAAAATACAACTTTCAGCTTGACTGGTCTTTCTAATTAGTCTTTAGGTTGCATGCATGGTTGTTTGTCCTGTGTGTCTCTGTGTTGCCCTGTGATGGGCTGGCAACCTGTCCAGGGTGTCCCCCGACTGTTTGCACCGAAGACTGCTGGAGATAGACACCCTCCACAACCCTGCGTGGACAAGCAGCTATAGAAAGTGGATGGCTGAAGTAATATTTTTAGAATATTTGTTAACTAAAATAAATGGTCATAAATGGGTATAAGTGAAAATGAGCTGAAACATATTTTTACATCCTAAACTATAGCTTTTGAAGCATGTTTTGTTAAATCAGAATTTAGTTAAAACCTTTTTAATCTGATGTACATTTTCTATTTTCACATTTATTCTAATGTTTTTGTTATTGTCTGTTTGTGCAGTGAATTTCATATTTAGTTTATGTGCTCACTAGTTTTGAGTGTCCCTTGGTGTTTGCTTCATTCTGGCCTGGAGACTTTCTGTCACCAACAAAATCACAAACATGACATGTTCAGGTCGTGGTCGGGTTCTGCAGACCAAGTGGACCACATGTCCCCAGCCATCTTTCACACCATGAACCTAAAACCTGTCAAACTTTAAAAAATATATATGATCTCTAAGTCTTTTCAAGATGGGGTCTTTATTCCCGCCTCCCCAAAAAACAAAATGAGAAAATATTCAGAAGTCAAGCAGAGTACGCAGCATTACCATGCCGCCGTACAGGATGACTTGATGGAATGTTTTTCATATATTTTTGAATCTGCAGAAAAATGCTCGACAGCGACAGGTGAAGCCATTAGCTTCTATCTCCATGACAGCCACTGAAGGAAATCACAGCAGCTTTTGTTTTGCACTCCCTTCATGTATCGTCAAACCAAAACAAGGGAGCAGGTGTCTGTCAGATATCTGATGAGGAAGGTGCAAAATGAAAAACTTCAAAGTAAAATGCTGCCTGGCACAGATGT